TTCCAGCAATCGCAAAACGGCAATCAGTGTGCGATGGGCAATGCTGTCTGATGACGAATGTATTCAGGGACAAAGGATGGAAAACGGCGAATGTTACGCGTACACCGGGACTAATTCTACCAGGTAGCGACCCTCGTCCATGTCGAGTCAAAGACGTCAGCTCTCAGGCGATGTGTGCTTTGTGTGGAAGTGTGGGTGCAGGTTTGATTGGTTGAAATCTTCAGTGGTTACCACCTGGGGGTGTTCGGGGGTAGGCTGGCTCTGTGAGGGTTATTGCGTGAACCGCAGGGTGTGGTTACTGCAGATGTAGCATGACAGTCAGGATGCGACCGGATATGGCGCTGTAGCATATGAGCCAGGGCGGATTTGGAGACTAGATAAAGCTGGGAATCCGTGCTGAGGGTGGTCGCCACGCCTGGCGCTGGAGAACGAACTGTGCGGAGTCAGGCTTCAAATTGTCGATGGAAGCTGCCTGGAGAATAAGGAGAGGTGTATAGCTTAATAAGTTTCGGCTTGGAATCTGAAAAGTGTGAGATCTTGTCAGAAAAAACTGCCAATCTAGAGGTAATCAGCTCGGTCAAGTGTACGGTCATCATATACCAAAAAAAACCAGGGGAGTTGGTGCTGAGCCGAACCCCCGCACTGGGTCGGTGAAACACGCGTGTCTGGGCTTTAGATAGTACCTGTGCCGTCAGTATGACAAATAATTACACAATAGTATACTCCTGGCTGCCTTTGGTAGGTTGTCAATACGGCGCGGTTATTCTGCAGTAGCTGATGGATTTCAGTCTAAATATTCATACCAACTTTCGGTCCGAGCCTGAAAGAGTCTCTTTCGAAGAATTTTCTGTAAGTTCGCCCATTATTTTCCTCGGAGGATGGTTATCGGGATTGTCCAAACGTGACACAATGAGGTTCTATGCTCTAGCACCCTCCGCGTTCTTGCTGACTTCTGCTCTCACCGCACTTAGTGTCAGCTCATGCCTTGTCCTTGTAGTTTTGCTTTCCCCTTTTCAAGCTCAGTATAATATGATCGTGCCGGTGTTAATGGTACATTCGGCCCCACAGGTGATAATGCCGCAAGACTGATTGGCGCCGAGGGTAGCGGGCTGTCCGGTGGTCCACGAGTGATTAGAGTCAGTGGGTGATTGAATTTTTAACAGTAGACAACCCTAACCTTCGTTTTAGGTGACCCTCTATAATCTTTACTGCATATGACCCGGTTGAAAATTGCGGAAATCAACGAACACGTGGGACGGTACCTGGTAGCTGAACCAATAAGTTTCGCGGTTTACCCTATTCAGATAATGTGCAAAGGTACACGCGTGCGGAGTCTTGCGAATACGCAAGTACTACAGACGTAACGCGATAGGGACATTTCCATGCCGTAAACGGCATGTGCTGTGACCGTGATCTGGATAACTGAAGAACACTACCTATGCTGGAATCACAGCATACTTATTTCTCACTTAGAGTAACCTGACGATTGCAACACTGTGCAGACATCGCATTCTAAAAGGCGCTTGTATGACACTGCTTAAACATCTCAGTATCACAATCGTTTTTTTAGAGTCACCTCTCAAAAACCAACGCCTGCGAGCCGTGATGCATTCAGGAGCTGCCAACTGCGATAGGCAGCAGCCTAGCAACTACACCCTATAAATACTGCAACATCTGGGCAATTTACCACCCTCTTCTGACTCTGTCTCTGATGGTGGATTCGAGTGAGAGTCCGGAACGTCAGGCTAATAAAACTCTTGTTCCAGCGATCATGTGTTTTTCGAGTAAACATTTAGTTTCGAGTAGCCTTGTCTATTACCCATTGTCTAAGTCTGGATCACACTGTAATTCGTTCAGCTTTTATGGGGTAACCTGCTGGCCGAGAGCAGGCTGCACGGAGTCTACCTCGACCACCCAACCGACGAGAACAAAGCGACCTTCTACCAATGTCGCCGCCTAGCGTAGAAGCGATTGCGAGAAATGCTGGACTAATGGATGGCTCGCAAGGCCGAGGAGATTCAGGCATACGCCGACCGCAACGACTCAAGTAATCTTTCCGCTGCAATCAAGGCGATCTACGGCCCCCCGACCAAAGGAATTGCACCACTTTGCAGCTCTGATGGATGAACGCTTTTAAAGGAGAAGTCGCAGACTGTGAAGTGCTGGGCCGAGCACTAAACCTTTTGGCCTCTGAATTCATCCGCATGCATTTCGGTCTACGTAATGCCGCCAAGCGTTCCAGAGGCTCGATCGATGACTTCTTGGTGGCCAGTCAGAATGCGGATGAGCAATATGAGCGCCTTGTCTTGGTGTTGGACCGCCTCGACAAGTATGGTGTCGTCACCAACCCCTCAAAGTGTGTTTTCGGCCTTCCCGATCAGTATAACCTAATTTGCTCGTAAACTATCGATTAGCATCAAAGTTGTGGCAAAATCGATCTTGTATGAGCCCGTGAATACCCATGTCACACTCCTTTATAGCTGCCAAGATTCTCACTCATCAAGCGACGTCCGTCGCATAATCCGTCCCTGTGTTTCGGTCTCAGTGCCTGCATCTCCGTATCATTTGTCTCGAGCTCTCACACCTAACAGATTATCGTGATCCGGGGTGCCAATACGTTTGAACATCAACGGCTTGACTGAGCAAACATAAGCCATGCTTTCTGCCTGAAATGCACTCTATCGCATCAGCCTGACCCTCACACTTTCTAACTCTGTAACTTTACTTCCAAAGTGTTAATTAAACAGAATGGTAAACATAAACGACAGGTTTCTGACGCGGTCTTTTTATGAGAAATGTGTCGGGTTCAACGGGTCAGAGAAATTATATGGTTGACGTTTTGAAGGACTTGGCCGACGGTCCATTATCGAAGCGTTTTGTGCAAAAAACCGACCAGAATTTCAAGCAAACGGCCGCATTAGTCGGCGTTTGGATGATAGATTTTTACCTCTTTCGATGCTTTCACCTTCTGGCCGTTTTTTGTGAACCATGGCGACCTCCTGCGTTGGGTGTCGTCACCTCAATGGAGGTTGGTTGCACCTATGCTCACCTTTCAGGTGAATTAGTCGAGGGGTCGTATTTACTCGGTATTTTTAAGTTCCATGTGACCGTCTTCTCCTGGTCATGGCGTATGTTGCGACGTAGAACTTTATAGGCCGTTGGAAGGTCTTTTTCTGTTCTTCGGTATTTTTCCCGAATATAGGAGTGACCCGGTTATCCGGTACCCCATCTAGTCGAAGTCCACTTGGATATATGTATGAAATTAGATGCTGTCTATTGTCTGTAGACGTGTGGTAGCCAATGGGACTTTCCACCAATATACTCGGAGGACCATGTGTTCAATAAACCTGGTCGCCAATATCTTATTCACTTCACCAATGAGGCGATAAGTGGGCGAAGCTTATTCAGCCTGTTAGGCGCTTCTAATCGGCCTACGCGGTGGAACTAGTGACGGGGTTGGAGGGCGGCATGCATGGTCTACTCCCATCTGCATTGTCCACACAAAGTTAGCTTGCATTATCGCTGTTAGATGCCTTCTCGCAATCGCATCAGCTGTGCTGGCTCCGTGACTTCTAAGCTTCTTTGGCGTCAACCTGATGCCCAACCCGGAAAACGAGCTTGCCTCTCAACCTAGCTACTGTTCACGGGTAGCCGCTGGTGGGACGACATTCAGCGAAACTCAGCTGCCAGCTAAACCGACTTTTACGTCTGACGAATAAGTGATCACAGGTCGATGAGGAAGGCGCTACTGGAGCTACTATTCAAATTAGGAGTTTTGTGCGATTTGGTCCGTGTTGTCCTTTAATGTCCTTACGCCAAATTAACGTTGAAAGGTTGTTTTGGGCTAAAGTATGGGCAAAAAAGCTTTACTGTGATAAGAAAATGAGAGGACCTTTTGGAGAAGTCAATAGATTCCGGCCTTCCTTGCCTTTGTCGGTAACACCTTACCTCTCCACACTACGACTGCCTGCGAGAGCTCTAATTTGAGCTTCAGGGCACAACGGGGCGGGTACGTTTCGTAACCTGGTCGGTGGGCGCCCCTCTACCATTTTGCTTGTGCTATAGAGTACTGACCAAAATGCTCAACCATTGATCTCATACGCCCGTAAGCATTCTCAGCTGAGTCATGCAAAAGAGTCTATAGTTGATGTTAAGAGGAAAAGTATACTTTAGTCATGCTTGAAACTGACTTGTTGCCAACAGAGATGCCGTTTTGGGGAAGAACTCCAGTCTCTCTGACACCTGGGGAAGACCGAACTAAACAACCCTTCTACGTATACGTGGGGACAAACACGAAGTGTGTTAGGCTACATCAAAGGACATGCTCTCCGTTTGCATTAAATGTGCATGTTCTGACATGCGACGATTTGCCCTACTCCATGCTACCATTCAAACACTCTATTTAGGCGACGAACATCGCCAGGAGTCCAAGGAATTTCGTTCTTGTTAGAGGCACCGGAGCCTACGTACGTATATCAGATAAATATCCCTCCCCTCTCTCGCCAGTCACTGCAGACGTCCATGTGGGATAATCAACCATCTCATGTTGTTCTACTCATTTCCTCTCGGATGCCTAAAAACTGTCGCGCGCCTTCGTCTCGTGAATTTACGTACGGTCCTCACCGGCCTCGCAAAGCCTGGCTGACTTGAAACACCAGGGTTAGTGCAAAATAGACCCCTTCTAGTGGATGATTTCTTCTTTCCTTCTGCTAGTTTATACTTGGGTTTGGGTTGTAGTAGTGTTTATCACAAACCATGTTGACTTTACGACCGCCGTAAAGGAAGCAGAGTTGGCATTGACCGCGGAAACAGCGAAAGCACCTTGTCGCACTGTCTATATAAACCAGATTGGGGGTTGCAAAACTTTTCCAGATAAACTCTCGTGAGCACTGTCTTTTCCGAATTGTATTGTACTAATATGAATACATACCTTACGGAGTTCCCAGGCTGTGTAGGAATCTCGTGCGGCCTGTCGTCTCTGCGCCCTTTCTTCACGCTTCCTCTCCTCCTCTTTCTGCTTTTGAAGTTTTTGTGCCAACAGTCTCGCCTTCATTTCTGCGTCCTTTTGCTTTTGCCTGTGGACATAATAAATGGCAAAATGGACGTCGATGTATGGAGACCTAAGGGACGTAGAGCTTTAAAAAGTCATGTCTGCCAAACGGTTTGAACACGCTTCCAACATGTGTGTTATCTGCCCGCCCAGACATTATTTCGCCGATTTTCTGTTGTTACGCGGCATACATGGCATGGCTACATGGACTGAACGTGTAGACACTATTCATTGTCATTATCGCCGTCGGTGTTGAATATGATCTTAGCAGTCGGTGGCGAGGATTCAGTTAGCATCGGTGCAGTCCCCTAATTTTTCAGAGAGGCTCTGAAACCATTGGTATATTCTACTTTCAGAAGAACTAACAGACCGAAATTGCAATGATTTTTAATAAAGGATGCGGTATTCGAGTACTATGTGTCCATGGCTTTGTCAGGAACTAAAATAAAAGAAGAATCTTGCGCGGCCGGTGATAGTAAGTGCTGTCCCTAAATCTTATATGCACAGCACGCCACCAACTAGCGACAGGTGGAGTCCTCTCATCCAGTTTGGTAAAGGAAGGTTTTTTGCTCGAGAAACTCTAATAAGAGGCATATTACCCCTTGCTTAAGTCGAGCGTGCGTTCCAGACCAAAGTCTACTTTGTGATTAAACAGTCAAATTTGAAGCAACGTAGATCGAGACAATAAAGGTTTAGGGAAATATAAGCACTTTCAGAAGATTTGTGACGTTTTTCCGTGTCGAGAAAATAAATCTGCCTTTGCAATCATCACTGAAAAATCTGATCGACTGACACTTTCAACCGATGAGTCGAAACCCTCACAGCTGTGTCATATAGCGGCAGAATATCGGCGAAACACGTGTCTGGGCGTTTAGATAGTTCACCTGCCGTCAGCATAATTAATAACACGGTGTTTGTATGCAGACGTTGATCGGTGAATGGACATTAGAGAAGAGAATATGGGCATCATCGATCTAATTCCTAAACTTTGTGTAAATCCTCAGGTCGTAAGGGTCATATTTCAAATTCGTCTATATTGAGGACTTGTGCAGTCTTAATTTGGTTGTCAGACTGATTTCATGTCGATTTCGGATGTCTCAATGAAGTTGAACGAAGAGCCGACCTGCGTGGTTGGTTTGAAAGCCGATTTCACCTTCACCTTTTCGATAGCAGAAAGTCTAATTGAATATACTTCAAGCGGTCTACTAGCCCAAGTTTTTCACCGTCTACGGTAGCCGGACCGAGGTCACCGGAAACCCGCTTCAGTTGCCTCCTAGCGCCAGTATAAAACAGAACAATGGACTTCTACAAAATGTGTCACCACTTCAGCACCGTCAGTAAAGGCCGAATCCGCTGCGCATGGACAGTGACTCACTGCGACATTCCAATGGTCTGCCAGCGCGTCATGAAAAACTGAGTCTGCCACCAATTCGAAGAGAGTCGGTGAAAAATCACAGAACAAGACGAGCACGATACAGTCCTGATCGACGTGTGCTTTGAACTGTCTTTGTTTCCCCGATTACCGATCTTAAGAGTGGTTTAGTCAAAGACACCTGAGGGCTTCCAAAAGCAAAGAAGAGAAGATCATGTTCTTAAACATCTCGATAGATTATGGTTTGACCGCTTCTCGTTCTCCTCCATTTCTGTCTGATAGATAATACGAGGTACGCACCCACCCCTCCCTGCATGTTGATATGGTGTCGTTGAAAAGCTTTCCATACGCGAGGCAAAACTTCATGATACTACCATACAAATTAGACATTATCGATTTGCCAAACCAAAATGACCACCCTGCAGTGCAAAATCATGCCACGACGAAATGGTCATGCAAAGAAGCATGGACCTCTGCGCCTCCAATCACGCAGACTTCAGGCTGACCTCTAACACGGACAAGACGGTGGTCGCAACCCAGCACTGAATACAACGCTCCTCTTATCGCTGCCAGCGGCACCCAAGTCAAAGTCGTGGACAATTTCGCCTATTTAGGCAGTACGCGTTCATGCGGCATCGAAACCGATGCCGACGGGGCTTACCGGATCACCAAGGCAAGTCAGGCCTTCGGCCGCTTGCAGGCGTCCGAATTGAATCGCCGTGGTCTCCATCTCAACTCCAAGCTCAAGGTAGACCAAGGTGTCATCTTGCCGACACCGAAGTGCCGGACAGAGACTTGGGGAGTCTATGAGAAAAAGCCTGGAAATTAAGTCGTTTCCTATTCAGTTGACTTTGACTATTATTGAAGATGGGGTGGTAACACAGGATTCTGGACACAAAAATCCCTGACTGGGCTGGAATCTTCAGCTTCCATGCCATACTTAGGGAAACTCAACAGCGACAGAGCGGCCAAGTTGTGAGGATGGATGAGGAGCGATTACCCACGGGACTCTTCGACGCGACGTCGTTGCAAGTGTTCGCCGATAAGGCGAATACACATGAAGCTACCAGGGCACATCATCGGCCAACTTGCGTGAAAATGTCTGCTATTATCCCAAAACCGAACCTCAAGTTTGCTGTTGGCGATCATTCGTTTCAAAAGCTGTCCAGTTCGCAAAATGCGTCTAGGGTTTTTGTCTGATGGACAGTCGGCAATACGAGACTGCGTAGAATTTATTCGGATGCCAAGCAAATATATGAGGCACGGGAATAAATCTTACCGAATTACAGGTTGCCTTGCGCTAAATTCCAAGAGCTTGCGGTTGGGGCTATGGTTCAAGGTTGTACACATGAATAGGTACTCCGGCCGCAAATTTAGCCGAAAGTCAACTGTAATACTGGCGAGGGAGTACTAGATTCACAAATAATATATGGCCTTGCCTCCGGCAGTACCTTTTTAAATTTCATTTTTTATTTCCAAAAAAGATCAACTTTAAATAACAAAAGCAAAGAGTTAATATCTTTAGGTACAAAGTACCTATCGTCACAACCCGTGCACATTTATAAAAGTCGCGAAGAAGATGCTTCCAGTTAACGTCGGCCTTTAGGTTTAAAGGGCTTCTGTGAACACAGTTCATCCCATCGCGACACTAATACATTGAGTGATTCTTTCTATAGGAGTAGTTTATCACTAGTAAGTGAAACACATCGGTACAAAGGTGAACATCCCTCTGTGCAGGACTTCGTCCGAATAAGGACAAATCCTAAAAAATGTTCAGCGTTTTTTTCGCAACTCTCGCGGATCTTAATAAAATACTGCCTATCATCCGAACGGTTGTTATTATTCTTGATTCCTGTACCCTAAACCGAGTTCAAGCTTAAAAGAGGAACAGCTCACCAGGCTTCATAAGCCGCTTTCGCCTCCCTCGTCTTTTCTTCCTTTTTAGCTATTTCGTCGACCGTTTCGTCAGTTGGCTTGGAAGAAGTCTTCTTTTTCAGTTCCTTCTCCTTGCTTTTGCGCCATGCTAAAAAGGCCTAGACACAAAGACTGCAATGGGCTTTCGTAGCACAACCAAAGGTAAAATTCTCATGTGATCTTTAAATCTACCAAAACTGCACCTGTGATTTTCTATCTGCCAGTCAGCAAGAGATAGGAATGCCGATGAACACACTCAAGGAAATATTTCTAGGGTGCACGTTAAATGTGCAGTTCCTTTTTGACAACCAACAATATAGACAAATAGACGACGTTGCTATGGGCTCTTTTCTTGAACCTCTCATAGCCGATGTCTTCATGGGCAAGCTGGAGAGATTTCAAGTAAGCGATCAGATCGAAAAGTTTAAACATTACGGTCGCAACGTTGATAATATTTTTGCGATTGCAACCACAGAAACCTACGTTGCTGCCCTCCTAAATGCTGTACACCGGGCACATCCGTCGATCACATTCACGTTGGAGATGGAATCGGCCGGTTCGCTTCCTTTCCTATATGTCCTTCTAAACAGGAGATCTGACGGTAGCATCCGAAGGAGCGTCTATCGGAAGAAAACCTGGTCTGGACAATACACGAACTTCGCTAGTTTCGTACCTCTCCAACACATACGAAATCTAGTCAGGTGTTTGCACAAAGAGCTAGAAAAAATTGTTCGACAGATGGTGTCGAGGATGAACTTAGAAAAATCCAGCTCTTACTTCGCTAAAACGGCTATCCTGACAGGTTAATGGCAATGAACACTGCCGAATGACCCGCAAAACCCACCACATTGACCGCCGAAAAGAAAACGTTGTTCCTCAAAACTCCTTTCCAAGGAGACGCTGCGAATGAACTCCTAAGAAGACAACTTGACCAAGCTGTCTCGGGAACCTTCCCAGAAGCAAGGGTTCGCATATCATTTTCTACTAACCCTATTTTAGGCGGAGAAGGCAAGGATGGGCTGCCACCTCAGACCGCCTCAATGTGCGTCTACTCATTCACTTCCTCCTGTGGAGCAGGTTATATTGGTGGTACGAGTCGGCTCCTTTCCAAAAAGAATACCAGAGCACCTCCCCGCATGGCTGGCAAAAGGTGAAACTAGGAGAATAGGCAGCGCCATCCTTGCGCATTCAGTGGATTCAGAGCATCGTGTGGACCCCGCTGAAGAAGTTCGTGTGATTGATAAGGTCCCCTCGAGCTACCTTAAGCTACCCTGGCCAGCGCCTTTTAGCAGCAACAGAGGCGGCAGCCATCAGGTTACGAAAACTGACCCTATGCGCCCTGAAGAACCTCGTTCAGGCTCCGCGCCTACCGTGGTCAAAGGTTGATTAACCATATACAACTTTCGGCGCCCTTCCGCTCTCGCCTAGCCTTTATGTTAAAAACTAACTTTTATCGATTTTTTTTAACTCAGTGGACCATATAACTCTACTGGCCTGACTAGAAGTCATTGAAAGCAACGTTCGTTTGCCCCTTTGTCTTCTGAATATAGCTATGGGGATTTTCACAACTCTTAAACTTTTTAAGTCATCGGGGACTCGCTAGTGCTGAAGAGATTCTTTACATGCGCCGTCGAAATGGAAGATCTGATTTGTGGTTTACCTGGAAATAAATGGTTATTGTAATGCTCCTTATCTCTTTTTTTAGCACTTCTCGACTACTGTTTGTCCATTGTCACGTGACGGCCAGAAACAATCTCAGGCCCAGAGCCTCAAGGCAAATCGGAAATGATAAGTTCCATCCTGCAGTCAGGATAAGTTAATGTACGTCACTGTCGTACGAACAAATTCTTCCAATCTCAGTCGGAATCACACCAGTCCGGTAGCTCGGGTCCGTAAAGCTTTGGATTTAAGTGCTTAATGAGTACTTACTTGTACTTTGTAAGGCTGTGATCATATCTGATTTAGCCGATCTCGATGATATCCCACGCAAGTCTATCCGCGGCAGCAGATCTGGATAATTCGACTTATTCTCTTCACCAACGACGGAGACTGAATACCGAAGGACCAGGAGCAACTCCCATGACTTGACGGACTCTGTCGAGCCAGGTTTTGAGTTGACCCTCTTTTCGACGCCTCCAATGTGGTATCGTTGTCGGATCGAGAACAGTAACACCGAGCTGCTGAGGTGGACGATGCAAAACATGCCCAAACTACCTCTGTCGTCTTCCTTGGATGGCATGGGTTATCCCTGTGATGTTGTCACAGAGAGTGTGAACCGCCTAATTTGAGAAGAAGTCGGTGTACTTCACTCGAAGAATCGTCCTCACGCAGTGGTGGTCAAAAACCTCCAGTTTTTGCTCGTCCTCCACGCGCACAGTCCAGCATTCACAACCATAGAGTAGGACAGACTGGACGGATGGACGGTACATGTGAATCTGAATAGCGTCGGATAAAAAGGCATTTCCCAAAGCTTGAGAAAACCCGGTGGGCAGCATCAAGTCGGGAGACAATGTCCTCCTTACTCTGCCCATTCGGCAGCAGCCTCGTCTCGAGGCATTTAAAATTGTCTATTTCCTCGAGTTGACGGCCATCAATCTCGAGAGGTCCCTTCTCGTGGTCAGGGATGCAGCTTGAATCACTAGACCCAAACTCAAACCAAATCTGCGCCAGAAGCTGAAGTTGGCGTGCTTCCGTCTAATAGCATCACCAGCTGGTTGATGCGTTGGACACGGTACTGGCTCATGAAAAGAGAAAGACGGAGACCGAGGACGATCCTAAGGACTCATTCCTAGTGGAGTTAGACGCTTTGGAAGGTTTTTTTTGACGCACCTAAATCCGGTCGCCTTTGTCTCTCCTGGCTATTGAAGCGCGATGTGGGTGGGAATACTGAGTGAAGTAGACGGGGAGTAAGTCTGCCTGACTATAGAGTAACTCACTCGTTAATCACCGCTGGTTACTAGAGACAATTTCAGACCCCTGCTTTTGCGAAAATTGAGCTGAGGACTAAATCAGAAATGGTCATTCCAGTGTCCTCAATCAGTGCCGTTGACACTTCTCACTGACCGTTCCTTGGTTAATACACGACACCCTGCATAGGCTCTTGATCCCGAGTACCAAGACAGAATAGAAAAATCCATCGCTGTCCTCTGGTTAGTATAAATCCCTCATATATCGTGGACGCTACTTAAAATTTTCCCTATATTTGTGTAATGCATAGTGATCCTCACCTTCTGAGCCTCCTCCTTATGTTCTTCAGCCTTCTTTTCGGCTTCCATTTTCTGTGCTTCAGCCGCTTTCCGTTTCTTACGTTCCTCAGACAGTTGTTGTTCCTTCTTCTCCTTCCACATTAGGAAGACACGTTGACTATCCTGAAGGCGGTTCACCTCCTTGGTTGAGAGGGAGGAAAGAGACATGACACCCTCTTAAGGAGAAAATCGACGTACACCAGCAGAAAACCAAACCATGTAAGGGAAGGCACGCGGGAGCGCCAGGAAGCGCATTGACGAGTCGCGGCCCTCACAGTTGCGTTATGCAGCAGCACAAGATGGGCGAAACAGGCGTGTTTGGGGCTTTAAACAAATGCCTGTGACGCAAGTACTCTGAAATCATTGAGTGCTTGAAGGCCATTTAGTTTTCGCCTTCGTCGTTAGTTACTGTACTTAACACCCACCGGCCCTAATCCCTGTCCATCTTTACCGTCTAGGTATGGGAATCTGAAGAGAACTCAGTGGCCTGTGATCCCCTTGGAAGTAATTGTTATATTGTCTGCTGAAGGGCTTGACCAGTTTGCACTCAGTTTACCCGTGCAATAAATGACTGTTCTCTGAGTAATGTATAGAGAGGAATTATTTAAAGGGTGCCTGCTTATTACGTTGAAATATTTATCGCAAAAGACAAGAAGATACTATTTTAAAAGACATTTGAAGATTCAAAAATTGCCTAAGTCTAGTATGAACGAGTGAAAATTACTAAATGGTCATTCCCCTAGCAGTTGTATTGGCGATCGAACCCTCCGATCTGTGACATCGGCTGGCACCGTCTCGAAAGTATTTGTCGCTTAATGCGGTCGCCTAAGGTCATGTGTTAAAAGAAAATAAACCCTGCAACATTGTCACTTATAAAATTATCCTGATCAGCACTGGAAGGTCGCTGAAAGCAGAAGCTAAAACAAATCTAGAAGTGAAGCCACATAAATGTTGCACGGGTTTCGCGGTCTTTCTGCAAAAAGATTTAGATTTCTACGGCATGATCACCTATCGCCAACGTTTCGTGCGAATAATTGTGATCTGAGGCTTAAAGGTCAATGTGTAAATTAACTGGACAAGCGCATTTATTAAAATGAAAAGATGTAAAAGCAGAGATTGTAGATAATTCAAGTTGATACAAAGGCATGGCGGACTGTGCCTGAAGCAGTGTTTGGCTGGGTATATAGCGGGTCAACTGCAGACACTGCAGTTTGGCAAGCGGTTTTCCCATTGTCTCGTAATTTCGGAAACGGGGTAGTTTCTTCTGAACGTCCTCGTCATTCAGTCAGGCCGAAGGAAGGAAGGAAGGTGATGTGGATTGTCTTCCCAGGCAGCTATTATTCACGACGTCGCCCCGAATACTCGCCGACAAGCAGGACGGAAATGACGTTATAAGGACACCCTGAAAATTGACCTCAGGGCTATACAAATTAACCCTGAGGACTGGGAGGTTCTTACACAAAATCTATGGGCATAGAAAACAGCAGTGAAGACTTGGGAAGTAATCCATGAAACCCTCCCGGTCCCAGCTGCCAAAGCCAAAAGAGCGGCTTGCAAGTCTCAAGCCCCGCGGACTCACAGTTTCAACAGCTTCAACCAGCGTCAGGGGCATCAACATACACCCGTCGCACCCGCTTCAACACCACACAGTGCACATGAATATTCGAGAATCGCGTGGGCACAGTCGGCCATATGCGTCTCCACGGAAACCTGCAGCAACACGGCGCAATCTGAACCCCATCACTACACCTCGCCTCGTCACCCACTCAGTTCGCACATCCCTACACCAGGAACAAACCTGCCCCACATCACCCGTCGCATGCGCAGAATATGCACCTCTCAAGCAAGTGGGAGACATGTCCTGGCACATGACTTGGTCAACGAGTGGTGTGTGGAACACGTAGACGGATTAGCATGACTCTGTCTGCCAATATGCGTCAAATCCCACCGCCAGTTGACTGACGCTTTCGGACGCCAGCTGGCCCACTGGAGATAGAAGGGAAACCGAAGCCGACACTGGGGGCTCCATCCTCACGGGACTGAACGCATATTCCTCATTGTAATAAAGCTGACGCGCTCGAGTCTACCGTGAAACACTAAAAATCGTGGCTTAGAAGGTTACCAACTGGCGAGATAATTCGTTCCTCAAGGTCAGTCCTGCCTGTATGTTGAGTGGCAGACCGGTGGACCGAGAGTCAGACTGAAATGGTTCTTTTTCTATCACGCTCCCACTTAGTTTACATCTGAGCCGTCCCTGGCATCTTTAAAAACCGAATCCTACGTATTTGACATTTGAGTCGTCCCTTGCTTCTTTGAAAAGCTAACCGATTGTGTGGAACGGGGCGTACTGATCCATCCAATTTCCTACTACAATACGTGGCAAAACTGAAGAAACATGACGATCAAAGACCAAATGTTAATCACGTGGGACTACCTTCACCAGTTTGAGCTGATACGCATGATACTAGAGGCCCATGCTAGTGCCCTCGTGGACGATGCCATAGAGCACGGTAACGTCAGATCGTCAGAGGTGCACCGATAACTAATATTAGGATTCAATCAACACCTCAGATTTCCTCGGCGTCGTCACCAAATCTCAAGCCAATCGACAGTCGGAAATGCGGCCAAGTCAGACAAAATAGGATCCGGTGTCTACGGCATGCATTTAAACAAATTCCCGGCATTGGCGTGAACTAACCGCAAACTACTTATTACAGTCTTTATCCCCTTTTGCCATTACACCTCTTCTAGCACAAATGGGGACGAAGGCGTTGATAAAGACTTCTCCGAAGGAAGGCAGTACAAGCAAGGTCATTGTATCAGGCGGTAGCCATTTGCGGTTTATTTGCTCTCGCCAACCACAGGAAAACGTTTCCGGTCTGGAGTCAATTATATTAGAAAGGTAAAATGGTTGACTTAAAATGTTCTGTAAAAACTGCTGTGGGTGTAAATATCGAATGACGGGTTGGCGTTTAAGTATGAATGACTAGTGACGCACTATGAGTCAGAAATGGCCATCCTGGTATTCAGTGAATTTGGCAATACCCAAGAACTAGTCTCGAGGAAAATTTAAATCGTTCATATTCCGTCAAACACTCATTGTGGAGGGATTAAAACGGTTGGCTGTGCGACCTTGGAACAATAGCGGCCATTCATGAGAAAATGAGTGCCGAAGTTCCTGACTAAATTTTTCCCTTTAGTTATCTGGTCTTTTTTCCTTGATGGCGCTTGTTGTTTAAGCGCAACCGGGACAACGCTGGAGAGGGCCACGCGCTGTTGACGCATGTGCTTGTTCGACCACAACACCAGGTCCTTTGACCTATGAATATTAATTTTATCTGCTTACTGGCTTTTTCCGCCGATGTCAGTTAGGCTGCTGCGTATCCCTGATAGTGTAGAAATAGATCTAGTCGTAATATGGAAGCCGCACCTCTCACAGGCTGTCGACTAAGTCATGAGTTACTACGTTTTGGCAGATATGCTGAAAGAAGTATAATTCGATCAGGACTGAGCGCCCACTTATGTTACTAGCTTTTCGAAGCAAAGAATTGCAGCATGGGCGGCAAGGGTCATGAATAAGCAACTAATTACCAGGCCGAAGTCGACGTAGTTATAAAAAAAAGAGGGAAGGTAGGAAGCTTGTTGCTTCCGGAAGCCGAAAAATCAATGTGCGCCCAGTCCTGATTGAATAAATATCAGATACGTGGCGACAGAGAGTGAGAGGTAGTGAGGCACCGACGGACGTTGGTTCGATGAAGTTTTTATGGCCCATCTGCTAGACGATATGGACGTGGACGAGCGAATATTTGTGCTTTTGGTTCCAGAAGGTAGCCAGGATAATGACTGGCTAGAAAAAGGCGGAATTAACCCGAAATAGTACTTTATCAGTCAATGTGCAGTCTCTGTCGCCCCTCTCCTCTGCAAGTAAAATGCGTCCCACACCTTTTTGAATGGTGAAAATAATTGCGGCCTCACTAGTTTAACTGTAGGGAATGTTCGAGGAGAGGTCGTTCATAAAGAAGGTCGAGCAAGGGAAGATCTGACTCTGAATGAGACATGACACAAATAAATGCAACCAAAATGTTATTAAAGTTTACTAATTCGAAAAACTAGGCTGAAATGTGTTAATGTATTATGGAACTATTTGTACATCCGTATTCTAGAAGACGAAAAACCTACCAACCAACTTCGGAGATTTCTGTCGCCCAAATGATAATACAGGTTGGCCGCAATCTAATTGGTTAGTGGGGGCTACCTCAGACATTGTACACCTATTAGGCTGGTTCATCACGAATCCTACTTAAAAACATCGATTGACATGACGGTTTGACCATCGCAAACGTCAGCGTCCACCAAGTGTCCCCACGGAATGTGAGTGCCACCAGTACCTTGCGTTTGAATCACTTTATAATGAGGCCGGCTTGAGCTGCAGTTGCGTAAATCTCTCCTCCGTCACCAACCTCGCTCCGGTAACAAGACAATGTCAAGATGACTTGAGGTGGGCTGCGACGCAGTGACGGTCAAAACCTAACGACACGTGGACGCATGTCACACACACACGCCCTGGTCTTCACCGCGTGTTCCAGGTTGCTGTACGGTTGGTTTGGATCTCACCCGAGTGTGGATGCCATAAAGCCCACAATGAAGGGGGGGTATTGCAGTCTGCCTCTCAGTCCTGAGAAGGATCAAGTTATCCCGTCAGTTGCCAACCTTCCAAATCACAACCCTTGACACATCGTGGGGCTGTCAAGCGCGTCATATTTATTTCAGAGAGAGATGCGCTAACGTGCCGTGAAAGTTAATCTCCCGGTATTGGCTTCACTCCATTTTCACTCTCTCATGAACCAGTCGACTGTCGGTCGACGGGTGATGGGGTTGGGCTCATTAGTTATCGCGATGTATAAGCCCTACGTATAAAGCGTGCCGTACGCATATAGGGCAAAACACGGAAATAGGACCCTTCGCCACATCCCGGGGACCTTTTGCTGATTTGCCGGGAGATAAGGGTAAGCGTTAAAGTTTGGGTTGGGGTTAAGTTTAAGACACGAACTGGGGCTGAGGCAGAGCTAGGGATATGATTAAGTTTAGAGTTAAGGCTGATATCAGGGTTAGAACACGGGGATATTTACCCTCCACTGAATGTTGCTCAAGGTCACCTGTATTACCGGGAGGGAGTTCCGATTCCTGTGTCTTACTCATGTGTGAGGGTAGGTACGGGTCCACACAAACTCAGAACAGTCTGACAAACGTGTTCCGTAAGTCAATTTGACCCACTTTTTGCCAAGCGAATCCGTATCATGGCCGTCACGGGGTTCAAATAAATGGCAGTATTCCATTTACACTAGTTCTTAGAATATACTTATCCCGACGTTTAGATAAAATGGTTGTTTAGACTTCATTCTGCTTATCCTGTTTTACTAATCCGTTTATTTGTCTGGGTCCTTTTTATGCACCTCCAGAACCTATATCGATTAGTTTGACACATTTGTACGCTTTTGGCGTTTCACAAATTCGTATTACTGGCATTACCACTTACCGGTTGTCTTCGTAAACAGTGTTGTTGTTAGTTAAATTCAGTGCATTTAGGACGACTTCTAGTTAATAGGGATATTTCATAAAGTTCTGAATGTTTTATCAGCTCCGTCGCCTACTACGCCTGCTTTTGCTACCTCTTATCTTGACGTCGAGGAGATCGGCTGTTTGTCAAATGGTCAATAATTTGAAACTCAACTCGTACATTGGCGACAGCGTACAGATCAGACTGCGCCTTATTAGAAGGATGTTCCTCAGTAAACAGCATTTGAACCAACTTTCCTCCTGTCTCTCATGTCCGCAGGCGTGATAAGATTTTTAAAGACTGCACGACAAAATTAAATCGGTGAGTTCACCTCCTCAATTTTCGCCTCCTCTTTTTTCAATTCCTCCAGTTCTTTCTGCCTGCTGGTCCGTAGAAGACGTGCTTGACGCTGGTACCAGATCTTGTAGGCCAATTCGCGCACCTCTGTTCCCGACTGGAGGTTGTGGCTCTCGGAACGACTGCTCTCCGGCTGTTCTGGCGACGTCGAGCCAGGACAGCGAGCCGAAACTACGCGATGGGCAGCCACCGGTTGAACGAACTTTCGTCTGGCTGAAACCAGCGGGGGCGACGTTCTGCGTTTTTGACACACTCGACCCAATGACAGGATCGGCTTGATTTGCGGTAGTTTCGTCGTGGTCTCCGAGTGCGTCAACGTCAGCTCGCTCATCTCCTCGACGATCTCATTTGCAATGCATTGGTCTACCCCCCTTCCATCGAATTGGTCCAACGGAAACAAAGGGAAAATAAGTGTGGGAGTAGAAATGGGCACAGAGGGTGGTGTCGCCTAAAGTCTGCTAGCAGAATTCGTCATTTGACCATCCAAATTCTAGGATATGTAAGTATTCCTGACCGTTTCAGTCAGTTAAACTGAGGTCGCACTACGATCTCCTATCTCAGGGCAATTAGATTCGTCCTCTGGTGGTAGGAGGCGCCTGCGTACTACCTTCAACCATTCGCACAGTGATGATTGGATATGTGGCCCCGCATACTCCTTATTTTATGAAATATCTACTTTTGTCATTTGGGTAGGCCTAATTTAACCTTCTTCTTTTCGCTCATTCCTTGTCACGCCTCCCTTGGGTGTTGCCATTGGAGCCGGTACTCGACTTGGGGTTAGGAGTAAGATTAGTATTAGAAGAGGGGATTAAAATCAGGTCCAAGGTTATGATTAAGTATCGGATATGGAGGTCGGGGTTAGGATTTGAGCTAATGGTTAGGGTAAGGGGGGTTAATGGGTAGGGTCAGGTATCAAAGTTGGAGTTTGTGGTTAGGATTACTGTCAGGTTTTAGGTCTGGGCTAGGTCCACGCGTTTAAGGTTCGGCTTTAGACATAGGTTTGTGGTTAGTGGTCAGAGACTAGACTATCAACGTTGACAACACTGATTATGCTTTCAGTTGTGCATATCAGGAGAGTCGTATTTAGCGATGTTTCCTCTATACTTTCTCCTTCAATGTGGTTGGTCATCACAGGCTGAAATAAGTTGGCTTAGAATACTTAAACAATGCCCTCAGTCCTCATTTTTTACCAGTTTACAGCTACCGATTTGCAGTAGTTAAAGTTGCGCGTTCGCATTTTTACGCATTGCCGGTGCATTTAGACAAGCCGACGGTGCAAATGAAATTTCTTGAATTCTACTTCCCGAAAACAGCTATTTACCAGTTTCGCTTACGCTCCTTGTAAAATTCCTGTAATCACCATTACCGCATGACAAGAATCCTTTCCTCTCGTTTTTTCCAGTGGAGCTACATATCCGATCTTCGCCAAAATAACTCTGCCGGCATTCCAACTCAACCACCATCTATAAGCTCACTTGTTGAAAACGTGAAGAAATTATATACCAGAAAACGCATGAGGACCGACTGGTATGTCAGAACTCACACGGCGTCGACACGCACGGTTATAAACTAAACATGACACCAGCCCAAACTTCTGGGTGAAATCTAACTTGGGAGTATGTTGTTGCCATTTGTGCGTATGCCAAACATGCCGTTTACTGTCTATCTGAGGGGTCGCAACCTTGCGCGGTGAGTCCGCAAATGCCGATAACATGCAAATCAGTGCTCTATTATTCTCTGGGCCGAAGTTGAGATTTTATACCCCGAAGACTTTATCTTGAGTCCATCAGTTACTTACCAAGTTAAGAGTTTCAAAATGGTTTTATGTCTGGAATCCTAAGATACACGATGTGTCCAATCAAGCCCAAGAAAGTGGAAAGTGTTGCAAATAATTCTACCGATACATACGCGGGGCACAAGCTGCGGTCAGCCCTACTTGGCAAAACAATACACAGATCGCCTGTCGAAATGTGCTATGCATGTGTGTTTAACTAATATGCTGTAATTTCTCAAAACTCCACACTGAATATTTCAGTTCCTTCATAAAAATGCCATCATGCCAAATCGCGCATAATGGGTATCAGCGAAGCCTATTGCATGAATATAATGATAAATTGGAGGAGGAAGTCTGTTTACCCAGTTGCCATGGCAACCCCGCCGCGCGTGGCCTCGCCGATTCTCGCTGCAGAGTGCCTCTTTTGTGGTAAAATGGGATTTGAACTGTTTTCCAAAGTTTGGCTTTGAGCATACGGAGACTTCCGAGGATCAGTTTCAGGTCTTAGCGCACTGGAGAGAAAAAGGAAAGCTCACTAAACAGGCCCAGAGAGGACGCGGGAATAATATAGAATGCAACACTAGTGACATTTTGTGATTCCACCAGCCATACCCTTTAGAAAAAAGTATTCAATTAACAGTAAGTGTGTTGTCAATCCTGCTGACTAGAGCTTGTTGACAGCCTAACTAAAAATTGCGAAACAGTCTCCTTTTCTCCCCTGGAAGTTAGAAGTCTAAAAGAGTATGACAATTTTTAGTGTATACCTTAGTTAGAAAGAACTATAAAAATTGGGAACTTAGTGCGGAGGACGAATGTTTGCATTGAACTAGGCCCGACTGGTGTTTATTCAGAAATTAACCATAAAGGTCTACTTCTCAGCTATTGACACCACTTCCCGCATATGTGCTAAACGACCAGTGTTTCCTCCTTGTTCATTTTAAGGCGATCAAAAATGTCTGCATTCTACTAGACCACAGACTGAAAGTATATGCTGGGTAAGTGGATAATACCTTCATAGTCATCGAAAGACATTAAATGTAGAGTTTCGGCGAACACCCCAATGTCGCCCTCCTGAAAAAACAGTTTACAATGTAAGAGACAAAATAATCAACTAACCATCCTTGATGTTTCGTCTATCGCAGAGCGTTCGGAAAAGCGACAAATACGACCCAAGTACTTAGTTTCAAGAGCAACTAATTTAGTAGTCACAAAAACAGTTGCGTGAGTTTGTTACACCAGCGCATTGGGACGTCCTGCAATGACTTGAAAGGCAAGCTTGCCGCACTGCAGCATTTTCGATAAGTGCCCGGGACGAATGGTTGCCCGCAAAACTTTGTCAACCGCTGTAGAGCAAACAAAACGAGAGGCGGACTGCATAGACCTCAAGTCTTGACGAGCTCTGTTGTACATCACTAACACCTCGGAAGCCATCAGACGTCTTCTCACATCAATTGGAGTTGGAGTTGTACACAGACCGTAGACAACCATAGGGCATCAGGCCATGAGACCGAAAGACTGCTTGCCATGGCAGAAAACGGCTGGGGTCGTTTGGCGGATCTGGTGCAGTTGCTGACAAATCAAATATTCTGAAGGAACTGGAAGACTTCTCTGATCGTGGGTGGCTGAGCATGCGCCAGCGTTAAGGAGTAATGACGTCAGCCCGCAGGTTGCGGCTCATTCGACGGGACCCGGCCACACCTCCAGGGGCGACGAAAGCGAAATTCTCGCGCGAGGTGCCAACCGATGGAGTTGTTTGAGTCATGGTTCTCCGGTCTTTAGTCTATTAGCAAGCTCAACGACTTCGTCCTTTCATGTTTAATGCTGAGACTTCAGGTGGACAGAGTAATCGGGCACGCGAGGAGCTCGCGGACGAACACCGCCTCCAGTGATGGAATCCACAAGCCGAATAGTCGAGTAATCATTTTGTCAATAACCAACACCTACGATGGAATCGCGACCGGTGACGTCTTGGTTGCAGACAAGAAAGCCGCCACCACATAATTTGCGACCGTCTGCATAGAATACGGGAAGTGCTAATTACGACATGCATGTGATCGCATGGCGACTCCAAAATATAAATAATGTTCCTATTGTGAGTCTAATATCTCTGCCTGCGGCCGTCCCCAATGATGGGCTTGAGCGGAATTCTAAACATCAAGCAACTAACTTCCTTGCTTATACCATCGCATCTCCTATTCGACTGCTTTACAGGATCTACCTTTCCCATTGCATCGGCAGTTATGTAAGCGCTCGGAAAGCCAAGTCCGCAACCATCAAGCTCGCAGAGCAATCCCTTTGGAGATTGAAATAACGACAGACTTCAGGTAGAAAAACATGTAAGGAAACAACTTATGAGCCTGTCATGCAGCCGGCGTTTTTCGGTTTCATACATCTCTAACATTGTTAGAAAGCTGGTTTTCGCCATAGCTTTCTTTCACTTTGACTAATTGCTAAGAGTCTTCCCATGAATGAGCTGATGATGATGATGATCCAAACACTCCGGAGATTAAGTGAATTTGAAAGGAAGTGCCTGTGTATGAGGGCACTTTCAGTTACTCGTGTAACCAATTGGATTAAGGGGGAAATGAGGCGTGGGGAGGTCCTATTTTCCAAATGAGGCCTGATATCGTTTCATATTAAAATTTCAACAAAAAGTGATTTAGGAAACAAGATCTGACAATCGGTAAGTGCGTTGGCATTTCGCGGCGCATAATGCACCTGGTGTACTTAGTAAGAGTATATCAGGAAAACACTGGTATTAGCTATCCCTCTGCTAAAAAAATTTCGCATTCGGTTCTAGTTGAAACTCCAACAAAGACCAAATATTGTTTTGATGGAAAATACTCCACACCATATCAATGTCACTCATACCTACACCTGTTTGGTTAGCTTTACTGATAGTTTAATGCATGTGAGGGCTCTGCTCATTGCCCGTTCTCCTGCTGACACATCCACTACCCCCTGATCTTCCTTCCTCCCATTCCCATTGTGCTTCTCTCGGACTCTTATGCCAGTCGGCGTCCCCCCTGCTAATGTGCACCGAAATTCCACACAGCCCATTTGGTCTCTGAATGCATTATGCTCGTTTCATTATTAACAAAATCCAACAGACATGGCAAACTGACTCCAATCAGATGAAGAACAAAACTCTTCACGTGTGTCGTTGGTTCAGTTAGGCGATCGGCAGCGGTACTGCAAAGTAGCCTTCTGGCCCGAAATACAATCACCTATAAGTTGGGCATAACGGTTCTTCTTCGTTTACGTCACCCTTGTCTGCAAACCTCAAGTTTCTGTGTCGAGACTATGGACGTTTTATTTCTGTCAGCATCTAAAACTTCGGAGTTAATTGTACCATTCATGATGAAAATTCTAGTTAACCTTCTTTTACATTTGCTCAGTTAATTACCTCTCAAGCGTCTCGACTTCTGTCATCTCGTTGCGTGATGGAGGAGGGGGAGAACGCACATCTGGGGAAGGTCCTTTGTCATCCATATCCTTCTCTATCCTTCTATGTTCCCCAGTACCGTCCACCACTTCCTCCTCCTCCTCCTCCTCTTCCTTAGTCCTCTCCGCCCTTTTCGATTCCATTTCCTCGAAATCCACCCCTTCCGTCTCCTTGGTAGATGGCTTAAAAGTGGTCTGGCCTGCAGTAAGGTGTTATAAGAGGCTTTTCTGACCCACCTGTTACCGGCGGCGAATCCAACTTCTTTTTCTGACCAGTTCCGTCGGAACCCCACGATCCCGGCCTCTCCTGGCTGACTAAAACTGTCCTTTCGCTCGAGACGAAGTGCTGCGGTTGTTGAGTCTCCTCCTCTTCCTCTTCCTCCTCCTCCTCCTCCTTCTCCTCCTCTTCCTTTTCCTCATTCTCTTCATCCTCCTCTGAAAGGCTATAGTTTGCCACAAATTAGTGCTGAACATTGCGTACCAAATAACCTACCTGCAAGTGTACTCGCAGTTGGCAGCACCGGCACCATTACCCTCTCGCCGACCTGAAGTCGTAGACGGAGTCCCCTGTTCGTCAGAACTAGAGAACTCAGAAACATAAGTCTGCTCTTGATCCTCTGCCAACATCATTGCCTCTCTGCCCTCTTCCTCCTCCTCCTCCTCCTCCTCCTCCTCCTCCTCCTCCTCCTCTGTTACATTTTGCTGCACCGGACTGCGGAGACCTCTAATTTCCAGCGGCACAGGGGAAGAAGGCTGATATCGTGGTTCCATCGGTCAAAAAAGGAAGGCGCTAGGCAAATGTGAGGGACTTACTCAGCATCGATTACGGAACAAATCACTCCGTGTGACGGAATATCATCTGAGTTCACGGCGACATTAGTTGGTTTAAGCCGCGTGCTGTGGGTCGATTGTGGAGAAGTCGCACCTGTTTCCCCTAGACTCGAGTAACTGGAACAAGAGAGTAGACGTTAGATATGTTTACTGACGCTCACCTCCGTCTGCTAGAAAGGCTACCTGCAGAAGGCTGTTCGGCTCTGGTCTGAGATACTAAAAGCGACCGGGTGGGCGAAGGAGAGGTAGTGGTGCGCTCTCCAATGTTTTCAACTGTGTTATTTCCACTTTGTCGCGTCTCTTACAAGCATATACATAAGCATGGAGAAGAGTTGCAAAAATACCTGTCAAAATGGACAGGCTGCTTGGCATGGTTTCATTCCTTTGCGTTGGTTGTTTGATATCCATTGCAAAAATGTCGTCCTCATCCGGTGTGTTGGAAATGAGTGAAACTATAAAATAACTTAATGCTTATTCATCGGCAAACAAGCTCTTGGTTATGTCATCATGCAGAAGAAAAATCGATAAGCAAACCTTCCACTATCTAATCGATTGAAATGTCTTTAGTTTCATGGTTAATATAATCAATTAAGCTGCTCAACTCTAAGCTAACTGCGAGTATTGTTATTCGACACACCATTCTCCAAGCCAACGTCGGCTATAGGCGAAATCGAATTTTGAAATTTTAAAATACGATTAAGTCGACAAATCGGGCCAAGAATTAAGCTTTCAGATAGCGGAATCGAGATCCTAAGATGCTCTATCTGAGGCTGGTATATTCTGAGGATAGAGCAGCTAATAAATAAGTGAAAACGAGACTAGCAGAAAGATCAAAATAAATGTGAAGAGTGAACTGAAAAACTGGACAAAGTAATCTTGTAGGACGCAATTGCATGGGCCGGATATCCTCTGAGTAGTCGACGAGTAGGAGAAAAGTACGCGTATCAAATAAGCAAGCGTCACCGTAGGACAGGATCCTAACATTTTGCACTAGACAATCTAGCTGTCACGCGCTCAGAACTTGAAACGACATTTGGGAGTCGAATCAGGTTAGTTCCGGTTTTTGGACCTTAACGTTGACATAAAAACCGGTGCTGCACGCCAACCGGCCAGGAATTTTCGTACCACTTTGAGAGGAATGAGCAGCTGCCACTCTAGGTTACGGGAGCCACTTGCTTTTATTTATAATCTAAGACATGGATTCCAGGGTTCCACATTTTCCACGCTAACAATTAAAAGTTATATTTTATCGGGTGGTTTTGTCTCCAGTGTGAATTGTGCGCCCTAACCGGCATCTGACCCCATTAAAGGATCAGTAAGTCATACCGTGTCCATGATCCCTACTCTGAATTAGTTGGTTGGGCGTTCTGAGTGAAGTTTTTGATGACTTCCGATGCATTTACTGGGATACGATTGGAAGGAGAAAATCTGTTTTTCGGCATGTATCTCTAAGCCACTGAATACTTGTGAATTATAAACCCAAAGAAGGGCGTAAAAACACCCCCTCGCAAATGGATGCTTCCGGAGGAATGCAGAACCGCATTTCAATGGACAAGAACGCAGTAAGTGGAAGACGGACATGGTTGATCATAATACCTATCGGACATTATTTTGCCTCCAACTTAATTTGAAGACGGCCGTAGGACCAATATTTCGCCGAAGTACTGACTAGAATCACAAGTGAAAATAGACGAACTAAATAGAATAAGAACAAATCACTTGTAAAAATAAGCAACAGCATTTATACTTAGATAAACAAAAAGCTTTTTGGGTCATAAACTGATAACGCAAGTCTCAAAGGCCTGTAGTGAGGCATGTGTAGATGTATAAACATCTTTACCGGTCGCAGAGTTTTCCTCCAACTTTCGAGGTCTTCGCGTAGGTCGAAAACGTGGCTTTCCAAGCAAACCAAATGGGTCGTCATCATTTGGGAACACGGAATCCAAAGCCATCTATCAAGGAAAGCAAGTTTTTCCTTAATAATCGTAATTTACAGGCTAGAAAATTACTTGGCGTCAATGCTACGAATGCAAAACTTTCTCATACTTGGCGTTAGACCTAAGACCATTGACGGCCTTTTAAATCCTGTCGAATCGCCATATCCTCATTGCTCAGATCTCATTTGCTGTTCCCAACGTTCAAAAAATGTTTGCCGGCTTTCTTGACATCTTATAGGTTTTTCAAACCAGTATCTTGATTTGCCAAGGGGAATGCAATTTTTGTTACCAATCTGGTGTTAATGAGGAATAAAACGCATTCTTTCGTAGTTGATAGGGCAACAATACCAACAGGAAGTTACAAATTGAAGCGAATGTGCAAGTGAAACGCATCAAAATGCTCACATGCTCGTGCTTACTAAGTAAATGGGAAAATCGGACCTAGCGCTGAAGTAAACAGGGAAAAGCCGGCTACCCTTGTCAACTGTCTAAATGTCAGATTTTCCGGTCTATAGGAAAGAAGTAAAAATAAAAAAGCAACGAAAACCCAGAGCAACTTATCGCAGTAAAACGTGCAACTAAATTATCGCAGGAATTGGATGTGCAATAAACTTTAGCCAACTGAAATGGATTTTTAAACTAAAAACTTTATAATAAGTCGTTTTGGAGGTTCCTGAACACTAACACACATCTGAACATTGATTTATCACAGTGCTTTGTTGTGGTTTCACAGACAAGAAAAACAAAAGAATATGCAAACACTATGCAAATAGAAAGGCGTTTAACTGCAACCTTATTGCCTTTGTATTCTATCAGCATAATCAAATTATGTTTTATTTTCCGGTAAAAATAAAATTTCCATTTTAAAAGGCACAGTTTATTCCATTTTTCATAACCATAGATTATCCAAAGAACGTTAAATATCACTCGACATCAATCACCTAGTTAGGAGTCAAATAAAGAGAATCAAGGACTCATGCAGTTTACTTTTAATCAGTCCTGCGCAAAAAGCAAATGATTAACAGGCCAAAAATAAGTGCAGCTTCATGAAAACTTGTACGTGAAAGACATTTCCTGCTTGGAAAAAATAAAAAGAAAAATCGAGCTGTTTTGACAAGAAAAAGTGCTATAATTTATTTGCTCTGGGATTACGAAATCCCACCTATTTCATCGTTTATCGAGAAAGTCCGCGGTTGCCCGAGTCCCAGAGCCAGCAAATAACAGGATATTCTGAGAGCTCGGTTTATGAAAGTTCACATCGCAGGACCAGGAGAGAAGTTTAATAAAATATAATCTGAATTGAACTCTGCGGAAGAGTCCAATAAAATTCGCAGCATCCAGGAGTAATGAAGTAACGGAGATCTTAAAATGCAAATGGACATCAAGGTTTGCGATTTAAAAACTCGTCTACAGGTAAAATTGTTAACGTTTCCAAATTCTTTACCGACGATCTATTTCTATCGTCTGAAGTTTTAGTTTCAATCATGTACTCTTACGTTTGCATTTCACTTAGTTGCTGTTTACACTACTTTTCTGAACCAGAGGCTTTCTACACAAGGCTTCTACCGGGGGTTTTAAATAGCATATAAGGTACATGACAAAGGCTCATGACTAGATATCGGGATGCCAAACAACTGACCGGTTCGAGCAGTGACTGAGCTCTAATAGTAGAAATAAAAAGTGAGGTCGACGACTCAGCGCATTTTCTCCACTATAAACAAAATGGCACGTTTGAAGCTAACAAGGTGCACTGAAAGCCGTGGCTTGGAAGGGTGCCAAGTGACAGGATTAGTCGGACCCCGAAAACAACCCAGTGTGCGTTTGTGTGGAGTAGCCGAATGGTGGACTGATAGTCAGGCTGCAAGAGCTCCTTTTTAATGAGCCCTTAATGGTACTCCCGTCCCCTGGAATCCGAGCCTCACTCCGCTTAATGTGTGAAATCCTGGCCAGTATACGTTGTTGGCTTAAAAGGAGGCGGTACACCTAGGCAGGAGTTGATGCCGAGCCAGGAACCTGCGTCCTCTCCCACCTCCGGTGTCCTTGACTGGCTCCTAACAACAGGCCCGATTGGTGAGGGGAGAGTGAGGTAGATTCATTGCAGGTCCATTATCATTTTAACTAATCCCGCCCAAGATACCATCCCTGTTCTCATTCTGCTGCGGAGCGCACGATGAACATATTCAGCTAAGATACTCTCACTTTTATTGGGAAAATAGGCGATTTGGAAACGCCTAAGAACATGGGGTCTTGGTAGTGAAAATAGATAAGGCGGAGTCCATGGTCGCAGTATAAAGAAATATGTACCCAAAGACGTGGATGTATATCAACTTTAACTTTGTACTTTGTTGTGGTGAGGAATAACTATAAAGTGATTTCTGTTCGCAGGAAGAATATAATTCAAGAATTTATCGGTAAGTCACTAAGTTCACTCCCTTCGAAGGACTAGATTTACTCTACTAGATCTATCTAGTGTTAAATGGTAAAAATATATACCAATAAATGTAACGAAATAATGCAGTTATGTATCCGACTCAAATGCACTCTGTAGTAACTTAATGAAGATACATTATTTATATGTTTGAAAACCAATTTATTGAAAAATACGCGCTGTTATTCTCACAGGAAGCAGTAAAACTTAGAAATACAATTTTTATCCGCACAGTTTGTCGTGCCACGTCGGTCGATATGGGGCATATCGGAGATACTGCCAAAAATACCCGTAACTAACTTCGAGGGTACCATAAACGAATATTCTTTTATGCATATGCCTATAGCTATAGCTTTGAAAAAAATTGTGCTGCAGTATGAAAGTTATTAAAAAGCTAGTTCTAGTTGCCGACGTACGCCCCATAATAGCTGTAGAAAGAGTTTTAAGATGCCTTACATAGGTTATATAACCCATTATCCATTATCCCATCAACAAATATATTTTGATGCGGTTCTGCAATCTCGAACACATTTTCCCCTATTCAAGCCAGTTCGATTAAATCCAACCAGTCACACTCTCAATGCTGCCAATGGCAACAAGACTGTTGTCGACGTTCCTTGTGGTATTAAATTAGAATATTTAGCATGACTGGTGACAAAATTATTTGTTAATGAAACGCTCAGCAGTCATACCGTATTTGAAAGAAACAAAGTTACTTTGTTAGGTATTTGGTAAACTTAAACAATACCCTATCCAGATTTACCCTATCTAGATTTAGAAAATAAGTTTCCATTCTTTCTAGTACCAACTGTCACAGTGTGCATATTTGTAAGGCGGTGAAAGCAAAGAAAACCCTCAGTGAAACTTAACTCCAGTTGACTGGTCAGTTATCGCTTTGTAAGCGCGCTGCGTTTCGGTGTATGATTACCGTTGTTGACAATGCAATATTTTTATTTAGTCTGAAGAAATCTCAGCGGAACAGACGAATCCATATTTGCATTAAGAATTTGCAGGCTTGAGGTCACGACTATCAACGTCTTCGGTAGATTTTTCTAGGCATCATACTTTCGATCGAGGACTTCCTTTTCGAATGGAGTCAAATATCATTAAGCGTCTGCATAATAAACTTCTAAATCAATGTCATATTGCAGTTATAATGCCGAAACAGCGAAAGCAACGACTGTGTAAGAACGCCCATAAAAGCGGCGGCAAATACATAGTGCTTGTTGCAGAAACGAAAATTACTCTGGAACAGCTATTCTCTTCCGTAATGTATTCAGCCTAACACTTCTTTGCTCTCTGTTTCTGTCCCGACAATTGTCAAAAAATGCCCGATATACCAAAAACACCGATACGCGAAAGGTCGTTAGGCTTTATATCAATATATATATCAGGTGAATAATTTCAGAAATTAATCAGTGCAGGACTTGGAGTTAAATCTCCAGGACATTAATTTTTAGGGTCATCCTTGAGCACCAGTTGGCAGTAAAGAGGCAAGACCATCTGTCTCAGGTAGCCATGCATACGCTGGACACCGGGCACACTTTCGCTTGGGACAAAGCTCGCGTTGTCGCGGTCTGCCCTGTCAAGAAAGGCCGAGAATTCCCCGAGGCGATGCACTCTGATGAATCATACATCAACCGGCATATCGAGTTGGATGCCGTGTACAGAACCCTGAAGGAGAAATGGAAGAGAAGGGAGCTAACCAGCTCAGACTGACACACGGCGGCCGCCAACCGGCGCACACGCCATCCAATTATCGATTTTTGTGCCCTCTTGACGTTAGCTGTTTCTTGCTTTCACATTTGCTTTCCGCTTGCGTCTGACGACGACCTGGGGAACCAGCGTCAAAAATTTACGCTATAAACCCTCTTTTCCCCAAGAACCCACCTCTTTTCAAAATAGATATTTATATATTCCGTAACTTCAGTAACCTTAAAATTCCATTCGAAGGATACCAAACACTTAGGACGACAAAGAAGGCACCATTGGGGAGCGTTGCTTGCAGGGAAAGAGTTCTTTACAGTTGAAAAGGACTGGGAATCCCGCTAAAGACATAGGGCTTTATGCTTGACCACGAGGGCGTGACGTTTTCGATAATCAGGACAGTGTTTACATGTCTATCATTAATAGTGGACCTCCATACTGGCACCTATCCACTCGAGGACCTCAAAGAATTTAATAATTCGCACAACGTTGTTATGTTGCGCGGTTTCGGTCCACCCGGCATACAGATGAGCGATGAGTTAACTGTGTATTCGTGGTCTTCCGAAGTCAACAATTTAATCACATTACGCACACATGCTGCTGTTTCAACGGGGCATTTCAAAGATAGCAAGCCAACTGCTTAAATCCACTATGTGCAGAATGTCGCAGGCGTATCAGCGGAATATGCTATATACCCCCCCCCCCCCACAGTCTATACCACCAGTCATGGCTCTCATGTAAGTGCGCCGACGCTATGAATAAGTAAATAAAACAAAATAATTTCATCAAGGACCCATCGGGGTCTTCCCATAGCAAGTAAAAACATCTTCTTATATGAACTTTAGACGAGGTAGACAGAACATGTACAATATGCCATGGA